AGCACAAGCTCTATCTCAAGCTTAAACACAATCATAAGGTTAACCAACCCTCAAAACAAATAGAAAAATGAAGAAATGATGGAGGTTTCAGATTTTTCAGTGCTGAAATGGCATGAAAAATAAGACTACAACATGCAAGCAACACATGCACAACATGTTCAAAGCCAAAAACATCAAAGCTAGTGAACAGCACTACACTAGAGACATGCAATATCAAGCTCAAATGATCAAACCAGCTCTGGACAAAGCTTAAACATGTCAAAACAGTGGCTAAACACAAGGAGGGGAGGCCACCCCCTCCTATTTTATACCTCAAAACACACTTTTTACCACTGAAATAACTCTAAATTTCATTGGTAAATAGGCCTAAAAAGTTTGACTTTTATATGCTAAGAGATTATGCAAAGGCACATACAAAGAGGCAACAAGAAGGGGGATACAACCCCTTAGCACAAAATGGATTTAAACTAACATGTTTAGGCCCAAAAATCAGAACTTTTTGTAGTTGAAAACTAAGCTCAAAACAGCATAGAAAGATGGCAAAATAACTATGTACAAAGAGCTTACAAGAGGTAAGATTTATACCTTTGAAGCACAACACTTAAACAGCCACTTTCTTGGCTCAAATAACCCTTCAATAGCCCAAAACAGGTTCCAAGATGCCTCAGCTCCAAGATGGTCCAATTTGGTTAAGGGGTTGTATGAGAATTCTAGCTTTCAAGCCTAAAACAAGAGGAGAGAGAGAATTCTAAAGAGAGAGGATTGTAGAGAGAGAGAGAGCTTTTTAGAGAGAGAAGCTCCCAAAATTCTCCAACCTTCCAATATGAGAGATATGGCCTCCATATATAGAAAAAATACAAGCCTTGGTCGAAAATATCTGATTTAGAAATATCTGGAGCAGTGTAGGACAGCTGGAGAAGAAATATCTGCAAATTCTGAGCTTTCTGGGCATTTGTGGCCGACCGGCCTCATTGTTGGCCGACCAGCTACTAATGTTGGCCGATAATGGTCACTTTTGGCCGACCTATGGCCGGCAAGCTCCATTTATGGCTGGCACACTCCCCCAGAGGCCGACAGCAAAAACTGGTTCTGGCCCCGACTTCAATCAGGCATAACTTCTTCATCTGGACTCCTTTTTAGGTCATTCTTGAGCCTAAACGGAAGCCCCGGAAGTCTTGTTTCCAATGGTGGCAGCCTCACATCAAAATTCCAAGTGTACTAAGAGATATCCCACTTTTATTGAAGACTGCTCAGTTTCCATCCAACTGGATTCATGCCTAACTTCAACCAGCCATATCTCCCCCATCCGGACTCAGCTTTAAGAGATTCTTGAGTGAAAAATGAAGCCCCGGAAGTCCACTTTCCAACATTGGTGGCCTCATAACTAAAATCCAAGTGTGCAAATGGATAGGCCTGACTTAGCGAGGGCCGCTCGACTTTTTCTTAACGATTCATGCCCAGCTTCTTCACCAACTTGGTTTCTTCCCTCTCCTCCCATTTTCTTCAACTCCAAACCCCTAAATAAGGTGTTTTAAAGATTTTTTCAAAAACATTTCACCTCTCTTTCATGCATTTCCACTTTGTCCTTACTCGGTTTATCGAAAAACACAACATTTAACAAAATGCGAGCCTCGGAACAGCGTAGAAACTTTTTTTTCAAAAATGTTTTGAAAGAAAGGGTTTTAATGTCTAAAATCTTTGGTCAAAATAGTTTTGGTCCACAACTGGGGTATAAGGTTGGGATTTGACTCTCTCTTTGCCGAAGAAATCGAACATTTACACTACACAACTTTCACCACCAAGTAAACAATCATGGCGCCCAAGTCTTGAAGGGGATCAAAAATGAGGTGTCTACAGTAACAAAATTGAGTCTCAAATTGAAGCTTTATTTATGTAACTAGGGTGAATTCATTACCCTAGGTTTTTTCCAAAAATCAATAACTTCATCTTTAATTATAATTGTTAGTTTATTCACTTTGTTTAATTTAATTGTTATTAGGTTATGAACAACCATTTCTTTCATCAAAATTAATTTAGGAATTTAACAATTAAATTAGTTTAATTTCTGGTTTGTCCCTATGGGTAGGACTTACCATTATTCTATGAAATTTGGTATAGTTTAATATTTATTTTTGGTGTGTGAAACGACCCATCAGAATTAATGGCATTTTTCATCAAATACTATTAAAAAATGTCAATAATTATTAATTTTCAGCGACTATTTGAAAATTATCACAAAAAATGTCACTAATTATAAGTTTTAGCTACAGTTTAAAAAAAATACAAAAAAGTCACTAATTTTTAACTTTCAACAATAGTTTGAAAATTTTGCCACAGAAAAACGTCACTAATTGTAAGTTTTAACAATAATTTATAAAAATCGTGTCAAAAATTACTAGTTGTCAATTTTTTGTAACGATTATATAAAAAAATCGTCACAAAAAATTATTTTTAGTGACGATTTTATTAAGACGTATTTTCAATAGAACTTAATGGGAATTAAGTCAAACTATGACATATTGGTAGTTTACCATTTATTTTTTTTTAGACTTCTAGTTTTTTTTTTTTTCCCCCCTAGAGCACTAATTTTCACAATTTATAATTGGGAGACTTATATGTAGATTCTAATAAATGGACTTATTGTCCAATAGGTCCTATAAGAATTAATGATTTTTTCATTAAATACTATTAAAAAAGTCACTAATTGTTAATTTTCAGCGACAATTTAAAAATTTTATCACAAAAAATGACATTAATTATAAGTTTTAATTGTCACAAAAGATGTTACTAATTTTTAACTTTCAGTGACAGTTTCAAAATTTTGTCAAAGAAAAGCGTCACTAATTGTAAGGTTTAGCAACAATTTATAAAAATCGTAACAAAAAAGTCACTAATTATCAATTTTTAGCAATATATGTAAAAAATCATCACAAAAAAATATTTTTAACGATGATTTTTTTAAAATTTATTTTTAACAAGACTTAATAAAAATTAAATCTAACTATTATGACTTATTAATAGTTTATCCCGTATAATTGTGAATATCATTTAATAAATTCTAATCTACAATTAAACTCAAGCCGAAAAGTTACAGTGATACTCCACTAAATCAACCCATTCTATTATCATTTATACAAAAAAAAAAAAAAGAAAAAAATGAGTGGCTTATAGGAGATAAGGTTTTGAAATAAGCCCTACTATTTAAGACTAAAAATTAGATTAAAATTTTAAATTTAGTAATGTGACAATTAATTAGAATATTAAAAATAATAATTATTCATAGATTCTTTAATCATCAATCAATTATATCACTTATACATCATTAAATCTAAAAAATAGATCTACAAAGTAGACTTATATATCGTTTTTCATTAAAACAGTAATATTTTGTAGTTTAACTAAAAATTAATCCATATCTTCATTAAAGAGTTTTATATTATGATAGTTCTATGGGGTTTATCCATTGATTATAAACCAAACTGGTGATTATAATAAGGTCGACTTTGGCAATTAAATTAAAAGTTAATTTTTTTGACTTTTTGATTTTTTAAAGTCAATTCGTCTCTTTATTTTTTTACATATTTTTTTAAATGAAAATAAAAAAATTAATTTTTAACTTGCTTTTCAAAATGAGTCAAAATAAAAATGAAATAATAATAATAATAATACATCAATTGTTAGATAATTTAACTGCAACACTACAAACCAGAATAAGAAAAAATAAAACAAAAACTTACCCAAAATTCAAATTGTGTGGATTAAATTAATTATAGGTATGGTCCAAAACGTAATAAATCTTCATCTACAGCATACAATCATTTTTTTTTATCCTTTTTATGGTAAAAAATCAAAAAAATTACCTTTTTTTCTTATAATATAATCACAATAATTCACTTCCATCTTTACAAATAAAAAAGGCATATTCACAACTTTTGTTATTCATCAATATCTAATGTATCGTATCAAATAAAAAATAAAATATTGAAAAATATATAATAAATGTGATATTATTGATTTAATTATGATACTTTGGCCCTCCAAAGAGTGGGTCATATGAAACTTTACCCAATCTTTCAACAACGGAAATTATTTAATAATTTTGAAATATTAGGTGATCATATTTCAAGTTAATCACTAATTACTTAGTTTTATGTTATTTTTGATATAAATTGTGAATCTCTACCCCTCTCTATCAATTAAAACTTTATGAAACCCGACATATTCATATTTTAAAAATATTAAATAATCACCGCATTCCACAACCATGACTCATGGCAACTTGTGATGATATAAGCATGAAGTGTGATGATGACCCACACATCACGGTATACGTATATTTTTTGTTTTACTCAAAATTTCTTTAAAATAAGTTGTACAGACATAATATAATTATATTATACTTTATTAAAATTTTAAATTCATATAATATTTTTTGTCCTTTTACTGCCAATCATTTTATCAGTAAAATATATATTTTACATTTATATTCAAACACCTACATTAAATATTTGTTTTAAAATCTTGGAAATTTAGTTTAATTTACCCTTTATACTTATTTATACACATAAAAATTTAGTAAAATTTGCCAATAGAATATACCTTTCAAAAAAATCTTATTCATTCATTAACATTTTATATCTAATTTTACGATGGATTTCTATATTTACCAATCGTAGTAGATGCACCCAACACTACCCATAAATCAAAACTTGCTCACATGTTCGTGAATGGGAGTGATCAAAACACACCTTCCATCTCACGTCACTTCTCTCTCTCTCCTTTTGATAATTATACAGTAATCTTAAAATATAAACACGTATATTTCATAATATTGTGATTGGTAAAAAAAGTAAATAAGTAAAGTATTATATTGGGTAATTGAAAAATATGATAAGACATATTCAATAATGATTGGTTAGAGAATATGAATACGTAATACTCCCAAATTATTCTATAATTTCCCCTCTCCCCCTCACTCTATAAATATCATCCCATAACCAAACCTTCAAAAGAACACCATTTCCAACCCAACATTATTCTTCTTTCTTTCTTTCTTCTTCTTCTTCTTCATATTATACATATATATGGGTGATAACAATGCCAACCTCCCACCGGGCTTTCGATTCTATCCCACCGATGAAGAGCTCGTCGTCCATTTCCTTCATCGCAAGGCCGCTCTCTTACCGTGCCATCCTGATGTCATCCCTGATCTCGATCTCTATCCTTATGATCCTTGGGAACTAGATGGTACGTGTTTAGTTACAATATTGTTATATATCATTGAAATATTTTATTGACTTTTTTTTTCATATGTTATGACACTTCTCAATAAATTTTAAATATGATTAATTTAAAAAATACATATAGTGTTTATCTATCTATACTATTATAAAGTGAACACATAATATGGTGTCTTGAAACTTGCTTTACTCTCCTCATGCCATGTGGCAGTGCTTTTTATTTTTTAAAAAAAAGTTAAACAAAGAGATGGGCAAGGCTTGAACCCATGACCATGGGTTTAAGTATGAAGACTCATACCACTTAAGCTAAGTACACATTATAATATTAATTTCATTATTATTTTCTTTTATTCCTATTTATTTAATTTGCACACACATCGTGTGTGCCCAACCGCTAGTTATATAAATAAGTACAAATAGCATTTCTATAGTAAAGTTGTTAATCACAAAAGAAGTGTTTAATGTTTTATGTACACAAATAAAAGTGATAGACATAGTGTTTTATTGTATAAACACAAACAAATATCATTTCTATTAAAGTTGTTAATCACAAACATGTGTTTATTGATTTATGTACACAAATAGAAGTGACACGAACACAAAAATTTTCACAACAAATGATGCCAGCAGTGCATTCATCCTTACTGATATTTTCTTTAAAAAATTATAAAAATTTTAATTTCATGACATTAAAATGATATGTACATGTGTATATGTATGTTTGAGTTTTGTAGGTAAAGCTATGGCAGAGGGGAACCAGTGGTACTTCTTTAGCCGGAAGACGCAGAACCGGATTACCAGCAATGGGTATTGGAAGCCATTAGGTGTTGATGAACCTATTTTCAATAGTGCTAGCAAGAAAGTTGGTATGAAGAAACACTACGTGTTCTACATTGGTGAATCACCGGCTGGAGGCAAAACTAATTGGATAATGCAAGAGTACAGGCTATCCGATAGCGGTTCTACTAGTAGTAGTAAATCAATTTCATCGAAAAGACGAGGAAATCCAAAAGTGGTGAGTAACTTAATTTGATCTAACATATCGGTCTGGAAGAAATGTGAAATTTGAGTTGAATATGATGTTTTTTTGTACTTTTTTTTGTTGTTGTAAATTTCAGGATTATAGTAAATGGGTAGTGTGTCGAGTGTACGAGCGAAATTGCGACGACGATGACGATGGAACGGAGCTTTCGTGCTTAGATGAAGTTTTCTTGTCGTTGGATGATCTTGATGAAATTAGTTTGCCAAATTAATTAGATCCAATATCTAGTTAGGCTTTTGTAATGCTCTCCAATATTATTCATATGTAGCATTACACTGGCCTGTTTGGGAGGTGTGGTTTGGGTTAAAATAGTCAATAAAAACAAAATAAGTTGAAATAGCCAATAAGATAAAATTTCATATTCAAATCATAATTATTTCACTTTTTTTTTTCTCCTACCATCGAATCAATTAAAAAAAAATCAACTATCATCCTAAACACAACATTTTTAGGCAAACTAAAATAACCAAAAAATAAGTAAAATAATCTATTTCCAAACATGCCACTATTGTTGTTACTAGCAAAATGTTGTAACATAAAATATTGGCACTTCAATTGGGCAATTTATGTTTTGGAAATCTTGGATTATTGATCTCACATAGAGATTACATGCACTTTGAAGGCAAAATGTTTACACTTGAAAAACAAGAGAAGGCAACACCATGCAAGCCTTCCACAGTCTGAAGCTCTGTTTAAATTTCTTTATCCTTCTCTTTTATTGCACTTATAATTATTAAATTATATAAAATTTAAAAATACACTAAAATAAGAGGAGTGAAATTTAAAAACGGATGATGAGGTGTGCATATTACTACACCCCCCCCAACACACACACACACACTCACAGAGAAGGATATTGGGTGAATCAAAATGGGAGAAAACTGAACGGTTTTGTGCTTTAGTTGGGATCTTTGTCTCTAAAAAATGTACCTGTTTTTATCATTTATAACCACATAATCTTATTCTTGTAAAGTTAAAAATCATGTGTAGCTACAATGCACAAGACAAAAGGTAAAAGACAATTGATCGATGGGCCTCTCTTTAGCATTCGTTTGGAAAGTGAGTTGGCTTTTTAATTTTTTGATTTTTTTAATTATTTTAATTTGGAGTTAAAAAGTTTAGTTTGGAAAGGACTCTAGGCTTTTTAATTTTTTTGTGAGAGAATAAACGTAATAATTATGAATTAGATGTAATATTTTATCTTATTGAACTAAAAAATCTATTTTATTTTTTATGATTAAAGTAACCAAAAAAAACCACAACTTTTGCTTCCCAAACGAAGCTTTAGAGAAGATCCTATGCCTTATGCCTATTACAAGTGTCAGTCGCCGGACCTTTCTTCTGTGAAAATTGTGTGTATGTGGGCTATGTTTACATCATGGATTTAGATAGGAATTTGAAAAGAAAAAATAAATAATAAATTATATTGATACCTCTTGAATTTAAAAAATAAATAGGGTAAATTACACCAACACTCCTTAAGGTTTGACTCTAATACAAATTCTCCCTCACATTTTGGAAATTATAACACTTTCCTAAGGTTTAAAGTTTCATTACAGAAAAACCCACAGTTCTTAATTTTATCACTTTAAACTATAATTTTTTAATTTTAGAATTCACTTTGATTTTTTTTTTTCTTTTTTTTCTTCATATTATGAGAAAACAAACAAGTAAGAATCAATCCATTCTAAAACGTAGTGTCTCCATTCACAAAAACAATGAAGCATTTGGATATCTTTAATGGCATTCATGTATATATATGTGTCAAAATCTTTAGACAAACAAAGTACAAAATTCAAATTTCCGAAACAGAATGAAAATCCATCCCTCACCACTTTCAGAAGCATACAAACTTGATAACAACCGGTCCATATTTATCTTCAAAGCACATGCACATGATTATATGTTTATATATAGATAAATTACATTGATACCCCTCACATTTTAAAAATTACAATCCCCTCCCAATGGTTTAAAGTAGCATTACTAATTGCCTCCTCGGTTAGTATTAGTTAGAAAAAAAATTCATTGAAAAAAAATATTAATTAGAAAAAAATTAATTGAAAAAAAAAATTTGTTAGTAAAATTTTTAAATTTTTGTTTAAAAACCAACGTAAATTCATTTTTTGAATTTACGTTTTTTCTCAAATTTACAAACTAAGAAAACCATTTATAAACTAAAAAAATTATCAAACAAGTTTTTATGATAGTTTTTAAAAATTTTGTAAATATAAATTGAAAACTGAAAACGAAATGGTACCAAACAGGTCTCAGATGGTAAATATATCATAAAATTAACAAATAATTAAATAAGTTACCAACGTAAGAAATGACTTATTAAAAGATTCTTACGCTATGTATGGTTTGATTTTTAGAAAAAAAAATTAAAAATTAAAAATTAATTTGGTTAAGAATTAAAAAATTTAAAAAAAATTATTTTTTAAACGAAATGAAAATTATTTTTTTATTTTTTATTTCTTAACCAAATTAATTTTTAATTTTTTAAAAAAAATTCTAAAAATCAAACCATGCATAGTCTAAGAATCTTTTGATAAGTCATTTCTTATGTTGGTAACTTATTTAATTATTTGTTAATTTTACGACATTTTTACCATCTGAATCTTATTTGGTAACCATTTCGGTTTCAGTTTTCAATTTATATTCACAAAAATTTTAAAAACTGTCATAAAAACTTGTTTGATAATTTTTTGATTTATAAATGGTTGTCTCAGTTTGTAAATTTAAGAAAAAAACGTAAATTCAAAAAATGAGTTTACGTTGGATTTTAAACAAAAATTTAAAAATTTTACTAACAAATTTTGTTTTCAAATAATTTTTTTCCAATTAAATTTTTTTTTTTCAATTAATTTTTTTTTCAACTAATACTAACCGATGAGGCAATTGGTAATATTACTTTAAACCTTAGGGAGGGGATTGTAATTTCTAAAATGTGAGGGGTGTCAATGTAATTTACCCAATGAGGGTAAAATTGATATTTAAAAAAATTAAAAAGGCTAAGGGCGGGATTTTTAATGAAACTTTAAACCTCAGAAGAGATGTAATTTCTAAAAAGTGAGAGAAAAAATTATAATAAATATAAATCTCAGGGATGTCTGTGTAATTTATTCAAAAATAAATAAATAAACTTAAATTTCATTCACATTTTTCAAAACAAAAAAAAAAATTATTTAAATTTATAATCCAAATACAATTTTCAAGATTAATGTTTTCAATTTTGTTGTCTTGTGTCACAACGCCAAGGAACTAAATATTTTATTTTTATTTATTTTTTATATGGGCGTATGCTTAGAGAAGCATTGGGTCATGTGTGATGCAACCACTCACTCACACCAGTGTAAATACAGAACATATTCAAATGAACTATTTAGGTCGTATGTTTTGGATCTTAAAATTCAAAACCTAAATGAGTTTTGATCAATTGAATATTTGCAGTATTAGATGTCTTGTTTACTCTTTCATGATGATGTGATTAAAAAGTTAAATCATTGGAGCTTTGTGTGTTTCATTTGTAGAAAAAATAATTAAAACTGTACAACCAAATGAAATACAGTATATATAATTATATAAATCCACCTTTTATGAAATGATGGTTAATTGTGTAATAAAAAATTGAACTAAAATACAATTGATGTATAAGGTATATGTTTTATAGGGTAAGAGATTTTCTTTATTCCAAAATTTCTCTCCACCACACGATCAAATTAAAAAAAAAAAATTAAACAATGAATCCGACCTCTTTTTATAGATTCAAAAAGACATTTTTTTCAAAACTCATAAATAACCTTAATCTTGATCATGTATACAACTTGATTCTAAATCACTTGGATAATATATTTTTTTTATTTTTCCACTCCAATTATACTACATTAGATCATACAAAAGGTACTTGGTGTTGATGTGGAATGATTGTGAAGTGCTCTATATAATGGACTTGGAAAGTGGAGAGAAAGCCAAACCTCTCACTCTCTCTTACCAGTGGAATATGACATGTCTAAACTGTCTAATCATTCCAAGTTGCTTCTTGTTAATCTTTTCTGAAAGGATAAATGTAAGAACAATGATCTCAAATTAGTCATGCAGGCAAAATTTTTATAGTATTTTTTGTGTTTTAAAGCTTATCTTTTTTGTGTTTTAATCATGAATTTTAATAAGAATTTAAAAAGAAAAAATAAAATATAATTATATTTTATTTATATTTTTTATTTTTCTTTCTAAATTCATATATAAATTCATGATATAAATATAACCTTTCTATATCTATATCAATGTCATTATATGCATTGAACAAGTGTTCTAGGTCCTGTTTTGGTCAATATGTTGTGTAAAATTAATTTCAAAACAATATCTTACTTCAATCATTAACATGTAGACAATATTAGATACAAGTAAACGAACACTATTTGAATGGGATAAGATTTAAATGCTTAAGACTGTAATGTTAAATTTTGGAAAATGATATGCAGTTTAAGCAAGTCACTAAAAATTAAAATGTATGATATAGATTTAAATTTAATAAATAAATGTGAACCACGTCTAAAATAAATTTACTTTACTCGCTTTATTTTTTGGCAACTTCTATGGATTTACAACCTGAATTGAGGGTGTTGACTGAGGTGGAAGAGGGACGAAGAAAGGAGATAAGGGGTTTGATTTGGAAGCTTAGCAAAAGAAATGAGTGGATGTTAATGCAAAAATCGAAGATGGATTGGGCTTTGAAAGGAGATAGAAATACTCGATTCTTTCATATTATGGCCACCAAGAAACACAATAGAAACCTGATTGCTTCTGTTTTGGTTAATGAGGTTGAGGTGGATGAACCTTCTGAGGTCAAACAAGCAGCTTGCTCTCACTTGCAAAATTTGTTTACTGAACATTGAATTTGAAGGGTTAGGCCAAGTATTGGAGGTGATTTTAAGAAGATTGATGCTAACCAATTAGGTGTTATTCTAGAGAGAGAATTTACAGAGGAAGAAGTTTGGACTGCTGTAAAAAAGTGTGATAGAAACAAAGCCCCAGGCCCGGATGGGTTTAATATGATGTTCTTTCAAAAAGGGTGGAAGTTCTTGAAAGGTGACATTATAAAGTTTATGAAGGAGTTCTATGGCAATTGTAAATTAGGATATGGGGTAAACTGTTCCTTTGTTGCTCTTATCCCCAAAAAGGAGAATCCAACCTCTTTTCTTGATTACAGACCCATTAGTTTGATAAACTCCCCATAGAAGGTGTTGTCCAGAGTTTTGGCTAATCGAATGAAACAAGTCCTACCTACTGTGATTGATAAGGCTCAATCTGCTTTTGTAGGGCGAAGAAACATTATA